AAAATGTGAGTTAGCCACGTAGAAAAATCGTTTTTAAATCGAAAAAGAAGAATAACATTTTTTCATACCCATCTTCGTTCTTAAGATATTTATCTTAACATTCTTAGATTTAACAAAAAACGCGAACATTAACGGATTTAATATGGATTATCTTAAGAACGAAAGATGATACGATAAAAAGTTATTCTTTATATTCGATTTTAAATTTATTTTTCAATTAGATAAAGATAATAGCAATTCCGAAAAAATCGTTTTAACAAATTTAGAGTTGAAGAAATAGAAAGTAATTTCATGAAATTCAAATTTTAATTCATTTTTTTGAATGGTATTAATTTTTAATCATCTTTACAGGCAAAAATGTAAGTTAGTCACGTTGAAAAATCTTTTTTAAATCGAAAATAAGAATAAAATTTTTCATACCCACCTCGTTCTTCAGATATTTACCTTGACACTCTTAGATTTAACAATACTCACGAACATTATTGGATTTAAAGTGGATTATCTCAAGAACTAAAGATAATACGATAAAACGTTATTGTTTTTATTCGATTTTAAATTTATTTTTCAACTAGATAAAGATAACAGCGATTCTGAAAAAATCGTTTTAACAAATTCAGAAGATATAGAAATTAACTCCATGAAATTCAAACTTTAATAGAGTTTTTTGAATGGTATTAATTAATAATCATCTTTAAAGACAAAAATATGAGTTAGTCGCGTAGAAAAATAAATTTTACATCGAAAAAGAGGAATAACTTTTTTTATATTCACCTTCATTCTTGAGATATTTAGCTTGACACTCTAAGATTTAACAAAAATCGCGAACATTGATGGATTTACAAGGAAATATCTCAAGATCGAAAGCCAATACGAAGAAATGTTATTCCTTATAATCGATTTTAAATTTCTTTTTGAATAACAAAATGATCTTAATGCTTCAGAAAGAAATCATTTTAATGCATTAGGAATTGAAGAAGTAATGTTAATAATTACAATGTGCATAATGTATCAATTTGAAGTCATAATTTCTTCCAGATACTAATAAATGCCTTCAATAAATCAATCTATTTAAAACATGATAGTTATTATTTCCTACTTTGTTCGATTCGGAAGACATAGCACGAAGCTGTCGATTTTGCTATGGTGGTGTTCGGAAAACAACGAATTTCCGTCAGACACACCCGAAGCAACACGATCGCACCGTTATTCTTACAAAACGACGAGGACGTGCTGTTTTGACAGGACATGCACAACGGCGGGTTCCTCTCCTCCATTTCGACCGGTCATTAATATCCGAACTGACAATACGCGTTGCCGGCCTCCGAAAGTCACAAGTAACGGATCGCGAAGAAGTCGTCTCGATTTTTACCGTTTCAACCGAAAATCTTGTCCTCTCCAAAAATATTTAAACATTTTATTTCCATCACACCACCTTGTAACCGCAACTCCATATCCATCCATCTATAAATACACTTAGCGACGTCGTAAACTGCGCACGTACAACTTAACGTGCAACTGTGAAAAAGTTACTAAAACTCTTGTGTATTCAAGTTTTTGAATTATTTTTGACAATTCTTTCTTTGTAACGATATTGTTTTTTTTGTTAATTAGAATACGATTTATCTATGAAACGGTATGTTCTTAAAAACAGTGCGAGTTAATTAAAACGGTGCTAGTGTTATCTTCGTCTGGTCTCAAAATACGGTTCATTAGGAGATTATACACCAAGACTCCTAGGCTAGCCTTACAAATTGCTCTTCTAACTTCAATTATACGTAATGATTATGATGTATTAGTGGCTATTCATTCGCTGTCACGTATCCAACAACATCAGGAGACGACGTTTCGTATTAATTACACATCGAAATTTATCCAGATTTAATTTTTTTGATAAATAATAAATTTCTGGCTTGAAANATGTTTTATATCTCAATCGAAAGTTTATGCCTGGCTAAATGCCCGATTCGAAATATTTAAGGATTTTGATTAAAACACAAAAAACGAATTAATCAAACACATCAATTATCTCCTTAACTAATTGACCAATTTTAGTCATCAACATCTCCATCGAAAGTATGATCTACAATGAACGCGAAGGTGGAAATGCCCGATTTTAAAATTTAGTAATTATTTGCGTATGGCTATTGAAATGACCCCGCGAATCTGCCGAAGAAGTCTAGCCCTCAATAATAAAATAAATTAATTTTGATTACATTCGCTATAACTAAAGAACGGTTTAACGGATTTTAATGTTTTATATCTCAAACGAAAGCTTGCGTCTAGCTGAATAACTATGTCGAAATGCCCGATTCGAAATATTTAAGGATTTTGAATAAAACACAAAAAATTAATCAAATAAGTCAATTATCTCCTCTGTTAATTGACCAATTTTAGTCATCAACATCTCGATCGAAAGTATGATCTACAATGAATGCGAAGGTGGAAATGTCCGATTTAAAAATTTACTAATTACCTACGTACGGTTATTTAAATGACTCCAAGTACCTACCGACTGGAAGTCAAGCCCCAAATGCGAAAAAATTAATTTTGATTAAATTCGCTTTAATTAAAGAATGGTTTGACCGATTTTAATGTTATATATCTCAAATGAAAAGCTTGCGTCTGGCTGAATTTAGAAGATATAAACATTAAATTAAAAAGGCGTATACACGCATAACATTGTATTACATGAAACTGTAAGTGTATTTTTCTCGAAACATCCTTTTTACATCTAGTTAACACGATTCCTAAAAAACTAATCATTTGATTGACTTGAAATTTGAACTGCACTTTCAAATAGCATCTTTCTATCGTATGACCTACAGAGAAACTAATACGATATACACGTGATTTTTTTTTTGAGATAAACTTATCGATTTGAAGAANGAGTTTTTTGAATGGTATTAATTAATAATCATCTTTAAAGACAAAAATATGAGTTAGTCGCGTAGAAAAATAAATTTTACATCGAAAAAGAGGAATAACTTTTTTTATATTCACCTTCATTCTTGAGATATTTAGCTTGACACTCTAAGATTTAACAAAAATCGCGAACATTGATGGATTTACAAGGAAATATCTCAAGATCGAAAGCCAATACGAAGAAATGTTATTCCTTATAATCGATTTTAAATTTCTTTTTGAATAACAAAATGATCTTAATGCTTCAGAAAGAAATCATTTTAATGCATTAGGAATTGAAGAAGTAATGTTAATAATTACAATGTGCATAATGTATCAATTTGAAGTCATAATTTCTTCCAGATACTAATAAATGCCTTCAATAAATCAATCTACTTAAAACATGATAGTTATTATTTCCTACTTTGTTCGATTCGGAAGACATAGCACGAAGCTGTCGATTTTGCTATGGTGGTGTTCGGAAAACAACGAATTTCCGTCAGACACACCCGAAGCAACACGATCGCACCGTTATTCTTACAAAACGACGAGGACGTGCTGTTTTGACAGGACATGCACAACGGCGGGTTCCTCTCCTCCATTTCGACCGGTCATTAATATCCGAACTGACAATACGCGTTGCCGGCCTCCGAAAGTCACAAGTAACGGATCGCGAAGAAGTCGTCTCGATTTTTACCGTTTCAACCGAAAATCTTGTCCTCTCCAAAAATATTTAAACATTTTATTTCCATCACACCACCTTGTAACCGCAACTCCATATCCATCCATCTATAAATACACTTAGCGACGTCGTAAACTGCGCACGTACAACTTAACGTGCAACTGTGAAAAAGTTACTAAAACTCTTGTGTATTCAAGTTTTTGAATTATTTTTGACAATTCTTTCTTTGTAACGATATTGTTTTTTTTGTTAATTAGAATACGATTTATCTATGAAACGGTATGTTCTTAAAAACAGTGCGAGTTAATTAAAACGGTGCTAGTGTTATCTTCGTCTGGACTCAAAATACGGTTCATTAGGAGATTATACACCAAGACTCCTAGGCTAGCCTTACAAATTGCTCTTCTAACTTCAATTATACGTAATGATTATGATGTATTAGTGGCTATTCATTCGCTGTCACGTATCCAACAACATCAGGAGACGATGTTTCGTATTAATTACACATCGAAATTTATCCAGATTTAATTTTTTTGATAAATAATAAATTTCTGGCTTGAAATTAAATGTTTATTCATTACATTTACATGTTAATTTCCCACAGCATAATTCCAAACGTGATTGAATACTAAACTGGAACATAATAATTACATTGAAGGCATCCAAGGAATTTCAATTTCAGAATTCGTTTTTCTTAAAATTTTAAGTGTACCCTTCGGTCTCAAAATAATTACTAATTATAATTGATCAATTAACTGTCTAATTAACCGTAACATTTCGAGACGAACTTCAATTTTCGAATATTATTATCGAATTAAATCAATTTCGTCGATAATAACGATTTAACCGCAATACGTTTAATAGACAATTTATAATTGGTTTGGTTTAATCATACACATAGTTTTAAAGTTTGATTAATCCAAGGCCACATCAAATTGATTGCAATAAAAGTCTAATAAACGTCGTGAAAATGCGTGCATTAAACACACACTCTTCGTATGTACAGCCTTATATATGAAGTAATTCACGGTCGAGTCATAATTCATAATAATAAACGACCAAACTGGGCGGCTTATGTATGTCGCACTTTCATTGGCGTTCCACTTTGAGACTCTCCGAGGATTATGCTCGTGCAACAGCTGCGCGAATAAGCGAGTAATTTTTCTTCTAATACTCTCAGAACTGAGATTGGCATACCGAACGACCTCCAATTTACCGAGAACGCGGCCGTTTTCCCTCTAGAAACTTAATTGGCAACGCGTGATGGGTGTTTCAATGCCCTTTTCAATCGTTCGTGCAAACCAACAAGTAAAAACAAATAAAACTCACGAATATCAAGGGGTTCACTCTTTCCCTCGCCTTAAAATCTCCCGATTCGGTTTCGAACGGATCGTTAAAATCTCCTCAAAAATCTTACCTTTTAATGCGATTCCAAGGTTGAATATGGTCAGAACCAAGATAATTATATAATTCGTTTGCTGCATTTTCTTTTTAATTGAATTTAACGAAGAACGAACAAAATCGCACTGATTCACTACGGGTTTTTGATTGGTGAAAGTGTTTCACTGGGACTAAGCCAATTCACCACAAGGTCTCTTTAACGCGATCTCTACTCTATAGTGTTGAATCTGTTCGGTTATTGTTAGCAACAGCTGGTGTAAACGGACCAACCTGCCGAGTGCAACTGGCTCGTTCTTAGCTCGTCGGTTCAGCTTTACCTTTGGAGTGGGAACGCTTAACTGCCCACTAACACACATGGTGATCAAGGTGGGATTTCATTAAAAAATCTAATACAGGGTGATTCAAAACAAGTTTATACAGGTTTTAATTTATTTCTTTTAATAGATTTAAGCGTATAATTAATTATATCGATTTTGAATAATCTTGCCAACAAAATAACTTCTATTTCTAAGTTGTAAGTTGTGAGTGTTACATATTATGCAAATTAAAGTATTTAACATTAACATCTTAGAAATTCCTTGGTATCCTTCATAAATTCTTAAATTACTAAAATTAAATTATACTTGTAGAAATTATCTAAAATGTTACATACTCTAAGAGGTGGTGGTCGTAATCTTTTAATTAAAAACTTTTAATTTATTATTATTTATATTGAAAACAATACTGTTTACTTTACTTTTTGTTGCTTTAACAAAACTATCAACGCTATCTCTACAACTTTTTAAACTAACTTTAACACCATTTTTTACTTATACGTAGAGCTCGGATTTTTATGCAGTCAAATTATAGGAAATATGTGTATAAATATGCAAGCTTTTTATTCAAAATATGCAAAAAGTATGCAAAAATATGTGGAAATATGCAAACATATACCTTTCTTATAGTTGTTATCAATCTATTTTTGTCACATTTTTGTATATGTTTTGCACTTTTCACATGTTGTTCTATTTCGGACTTCCTCTCACACGTTATCTTAAAAAAGAATAATTAAAAAAGTTTGCCATAGATACTCTAACAGATTAAAAATGTAATTCTGAGACTATAAAACAGATTCGTATTTTTCATTGTCGATTGTCTAGAAACATAATATGTAAAAACATATTCCAAGAAGATGGGACATCAAATTTAATATAGTAGTTTTATTTAGTTTTAATTTAACTCCTAGTGTAAAAGTCTATGAGAAATACAATATCGGAACAAACCATTGGCAAATCCACTGAAAACTCTAATTTTTAACTTAAATCTTTGGCTAAAACGCTACGACATAATTTTTAAAAAATACTTACAACTTTGGCACAAGTTTTACAAAATAATTCCTCATTATTTAAATTTAGTTCGGGACAACTTTTTATCCACTGGGACACAATACACGATATCACTTTAGGCATTGTTGTTATAGATTGGTAGATTAATGTTCACTCACACTGAATACAGCCACAGTAACTATGGTTGGGGATTTCCTTAAACTTAAACTCAACAGCGCTATGAATTCCCCGCATGTTTCTGTGAATCGTTGTAAACAAGAAACAAACCCTCAATCAAAAATATCCTGTATTGTGCTTTAAACTTGTGCTCGCATTTCAAAAATCACCCAGTCATCATATTTATTTTATTAAGCAACAAGAAAGAAATCTAGTAAAATGAAAAAATATGCGAAAATATGCAGTAAAAGGCCAATTTATGCAACAATCAAAAAAATTGTAAAAATATGCAAAATATGCAAATTTTTTTATTGTACCATCTGCCTTATTTTTACTTTTTATGTAATTCGCCCAGAAACCAATTTTGAAAAAAATATTCCAGAAAATAAAGAAGATGCATTTTGCATAAAATCCGAGCCTTACTTATATGTAACACTAACTACTGACTAACATTATACATAATGTTACTAAAAACCAACATGGAATATAATAAACTCGAAAACTGGACTGAAAAGACATTCAATGTTAATCCCAACTAGTTTAACTCCTTTAACGAGTTCTTCACAAATATTCCTAAAGACCTTATAAACACTCTGCCATTTACCCAAACTCAACCAAACTCGTTCTTCTTTTTTTCTACAAATCCAGATGAAGTAGCAACCATAATATAATCATTCCAAGGCAAACGCATAGAGGATGTGTACGGAATCAATGTCCATCTTTTAAAAGAAACCACGTAAACATCATAAAAGATTCAGTTTCTGATATTATAAACTGCTCAATTAGAGAGGGTGTGTTTCTCGATGGATTAAAACTTGCCAAAATTATGCCAATATTTAAAAAGTGTGGTCCCAAATATGAATAACTACAGATCTATTGCTATTCTACCAGTCTTTTCTAAAATTTTCGAAAAAATCATGGCACTCCGAATAATCAACTTTTTGGTTTAGAAAAACTAAATCAACGATAAATGCCCTTCGGAGACTGATGATAAGGAAAACTGTCTAGCACACTTCCGCCATCTTTTAAAAGCGTTTGCCTGTATGGGCCATGAGATCTTTCTGAACAAGATATAATATTATGTTTTTCATGGAGTTACACTAAATCTTATCAAATCTTATTTTGAAAGCCGCGCCCAAATAGTGGAATGGAATCAATTGAAAAGCGATATAAAATGTATACAGGGTGTTCATTTCAAAACTTTCCACCTCAATTTCTGTAAATCCTGAAGTTTAAAAAGAAAATCGCTGAAATAGGTAAAGAATAAAACCAAGGGGGACAACCTTTTATGCAAAAATTGACTCACTCACTTCAACCCCCCGCCGCCAGATACCAACCCCTTAAAAATCTTAAATGGAAAGGGGTGTCAAGTGATACCTCATTTTAAAGGTCTTTTAAGGTACTACATGTTAGTATTTATTTTTTTTTAAATTGATCGATTCGTTTTCGAAATTTTTGCGAAAATCTTTGTTTTGTATCTACCGCTTTAATTAATATTAAAAACTTTAATCACCTTCTTAAAAGCAAGAATAAGTAATCTTTTATTATTAATNCGATTTCGATAAACAATGTCTCATTCGAAAGCTTAATCTTTGACCAATACGAAAGTGGAAATGCCCGATTCGAAATCTCTTTCGAATTCCGTTAAAACGCCAAAATAATGCGAAGGTACACGAAAATAACAAAAAAATGACCTTTTTTTATGTAGTGATAACTCGTAAACGATGTAACCGGTGATCAAGATCTATACATCATTCGATTCGTCATAGTTTCTTCTATCGAAATCACAAAATGATTTCAATTCTCTCCCGTTAACCTTGTACAGTTCTGTTCAGATATAATGCGAAAAGAGCCGCTCGTAGAAAAAGACCTACGTTCACGCGGCATTCAATCCAGGTTTTACCTGCTCTGTAGTGTTGTAAAAGTTCTGAACAGGCAAGTGGGGTGATGTGATTTATAGCCAAGATGACTGAATCACAAAGGAAAAAATTAAGAAAATAAATAAGTATAAGCAATCCATTTACTTTACACAATTCCTGTAGTAAATGAAAATTATATATTGATAGTAAGTTATATATAAACTATANGCACAAGTTTTACAAAATAATTCCTCATTATTTAAATTTAGTTCGGGATAACTTTTTATCCACTGGGACACAATACACGATATCACTTTAGGCATTGTTGTTATAGATTGGTAGATTAATGTTCACTCACACTGAACACAGCCACAGTAACTATGGCAATTGTAGCCTCCAGGTTCATCATGGTGAGTATTCATAGGATAAAAAAGAATAAGTCCACGATGATTATTTATTATTTTTTCTAATTTCGGTACAACAATGTTTCGCTTTTTCTAAAAGCATCTTCAGGTACGACTAGAATAATATGGAACATAATTATTACTAGTTGACGGGTTTTTTTTTGTTGGTGATATAAAATTAAAATTATAAAAAGTTCTTACCGTCAAAAACTAAGAATGATGAACACGTGAAAAAATGATCATGTGGAAAAATTTCTCTTANGCATATCAACTAAAATGCGTTATTAGCGAATCAACTTCCAAACATCCCCTCCTTAATTTATTGTGGGAAGAAGGAATACTGGAGGTGAATAAACAAAAAATGTAAAGACGACGGGCCGAAGCGGTTTTAAATCGTTTTTTGGTTTTAAACTCAACCTTTCAATAAAAAAAATTACTCGTTTTCTCGAAACATTTCAAATAAAACTTACGTCATTTTACTAAAATAAAACGCACTAATTGAACTTCAATGTTTAACACTTCCTGCAAAAGAAAGTCTATTCCCCAATATAATAAAGATAATTTAACCTAAATCGACTATAAGTAGCGAACGGTTTGACGGATTTTAATGTTTTATATCTCAATCGAAAGTTTGGGGGCTAGACTTCCAGTCGGTCATTTCAATAGCCGTACGCAGATAATTAGTAAATTTTGAAATCGGGCATTTCCACCTTCGCATTCATTGAAGATCATACTTTTGATCGAGATGTTGATGACTAAAATTGGTCAATTAGTTAAGGACATAATTAATTAAAAAATATAACTTAAAAAAGGTCATTTTTGTGTTATTTTCGTCTACCTTCGCATTATGTTGGCGTTTTAGCGAAATTCGAAAGAGATTTCGAATCATTTCCACATTCGTATTGGTCAAAGATTACGCTTTCGAATGAGACATTGTTTATCGAAATCGGTTGACTGATTCTCTTGTTATAATCAAAATACTATACATGTAAAATCTTATCTAATTGGGGGCTAACTTCGCATAGGTTAACTACAGGTCTAGTGCTATTCTACCAGCCTTTTCTAAAATTTTCGAAAAAATCATGGCACTCCGAATAATCAACTTTTTTGATACTGAGGAGCAATATGGGTTTAGAAAAGCTAAATCAACGATAAATGCCCTTCGGAGACTGATGATAAGGAAAACTGTCTAGCACATTTCCATAATCTTTTAAAAGCGTTTGCCTGTATGGACCATGAGATCTTTCTGAACAAGATATAATATTATGTTTTTCATGGAGTTACACTAAATCTTATTTCGAAAGCCGCTCCCAAATAGTGGAATGGAATCAATTGAAGAGCGATATAAAATGTATATATATGTATGTATGGTTCTGTGGCCTCTGTTCCTTATTATCTATATTGACGACTTTCCCATTAGTATTGATTGTCTTACTCTCCTGTTTGCGGATGATATAGTATAACGATGGTTTTGGGCCGAGGGAAAGAACATCTAGATAGTGAAGATCTTAGAACTTGCACATCTACATCTACCTGTTTTAGTACCAATAAACTTGTTACAAATCGGGAAAA